TCAACAACATTTCAAGGTAAAACAAGACAACAAAATTTAAAATATTTGCCTACATGAAATATGCACGATATTTATATTATATGGGTCATTTTCAATATTGGTAGTATTTTCTGTCTGTTCCAAATAAAAAAACAATCTGTGAGTTTAAAAGGATTTTTTGGTTCTAGAAAAGATATTTAGATGTTTACTAGTCAGTAACTGTGGTATATCATTAGCCTTGTCATTTTGAAATTTATACTTAACCACATTTTGGGGTCAAAATTGGCAGATTTGCTCCATCCAGAGGTGAAGGTCCTAATATCAATGTTCACAAATAATGTAAATATAAATGCAAATAAACAAATTAATTCATATCATGCCAATTAGGATTGATCAAGCATACTCTGACTGCATTTAATTTTTTTTTAACTTAAAAAAGCTTTTTTTCTTCAAATTGTAACATGCTTGTCCTGTGATTCTGTGTCCTGACCGTTACCAGTTTATGAAATTCCTACAATAATTTCCCCCTGGAGCTGGATTGTAATACTACTTCCTGTGTCTGTTTGAGCTAGCCCCTGTGCTTTTGACAGCAGATGAAATAAAAAGATTCAATACATTTTGAAGAAAATTGACACAGTCAAATAAGTATAAATGTTATGTGTCGACCTTAATTGTCCAGACCATTACCAATGTATTTTGTGTCAAATATGTATTTCTTTTTTTATAAATTTCAATGGATATGGTGCCCAGAAATGGAAGAGGTGGAAGGCATGTCCTTTGAAATCTTTAAGGGATCATTCATTTTTATATTTAAGATTTACTTACAAATTGTCTTGACCGTTACTGTCCAAACCGTTACCATTCTGCAAAGTAACGGTTTGGACAGTCCTTGTAACGGTCAGGACAAAATGATTTGCATTTCAAAAAGTTATTCATTAATATTTGAAGTATAACAAATTTATAATTTCTTTAAGAGTTAAGATAGTTTAAGCATGGACTTGTACAGTTCAAAGGAGTTTTGATGTAGTAGCATAAAAAACACATTCTCTAGTAACGGTTTGGACAAATAATAGTAACGATCGGTACATTTCTTTAATAAATTTCAATTTTGAAGAATATGTTCTATGGTGTGATAATAAATTTCTATTTACTTATCTATCTGCTTTTAATAATAAAAACCAAAACTAATTTATCACATTAAGTTTCTATTTTCTATAAGATCTATAGTCTTTATGAATTAAAGGTAATGGTTAGGACATCTATGGTAACAGTTTGGACCAAATGTAGTAACGGTAAACAACTTAATTGTAATCCAACCTTTAAAGATTTTTTTGGTGTAGTCTGTTTTGATTTTGTGAGATATGGAAGACTACCATTTATATAGAATATTGATAGGTGCTAATATGTTGCCCTATGTATTTGATAAATATGTGTTACCATCTCACTATTAACAAAAACTAAAGGTATCCAAGTGAATGAAAGAAGTATATTTCGTGCAGACTAATATTGCACCATAATATCAACAGCAAAATGATATGTGTGCAGTGGCCTGTGTAGCATGACCATGTGTACAGTATCATAGTTGTTGCAGTACCTTTCAGAATTTCATCTTTTGCAACTTTTTAGGGGGATAACATTTGTTTGTTGCACTGATGACCTGACCGTTACCAATAATGTCACAACCGTTACTATTCATTCAATTTTCGTTCCCCAATTGCATTTTTCTTTAGATTATATGTGATTTTCAACCTAGACAGGTATGTTTTTCTATTCTTTAGAAGCTACAATTCGTTTTTATTCAAAAGCGTAAATTCATTCACAAGTTTTATATTACAAATATAACAAATGTCTAAACCCATACCACAGCATGGAAGAAAACATGTCATATTTGTTACGAGTTACAATTTCTATTACACATTTCACTGTCTGTCCAAAATAGGGTTAGCAGTTCAAGTAAGTGATGTCACTTTTCCTTTCATGTTACCTGTTTCTATGTTGAATTAAATTGTTTAAGGCTTATGTCCAGCCCGATACCATTCCTGTCCAAACCGTTACCACTATTGTCCTAACCGTTACTGGTGTTAATTGACTGCTCTAATTAATTCATGATAATACATGAAACACTCCTCTTTATGTTGGTGTCATCAAAAGATGTTCTGGGCTTAGTAGCAGATGTTTATTTTAGGCAATTTCACCTGTTGAAAGCTACATATACATAATAATGTTTTAGAAAAATGCTATCATTTTGTGGTAAATAAATGAAAGATACATAATAACACTTTCAAGATTCATGATGATAGTTTTTACCTTCAAGTTTGATTAAGTCTGTGTAAAAGCTGTGTCTGCCATCTTCAAAAGATTTTTCTGAATTATATTTCAAAATCCTTATTCTGATTAAGAAGTGGTAACGGTCAGGACAGTCTCCCACCCTTTTAATTACTGATGTATCAATTAAAAGGTTAATTAGTACATGTCAGTCTTCATGTTTGTATTTTTGAATAATTAAGTGTTTGAGGGGTGTTTTTAATAAAAATTAAATCAATTTTGAGGAGTTTGATTTTACTGTAATAAAGAATTGAAAATCCTACCAATTATAAAAATGACCCACATATATTTCAGATTTATTAACTAACTACTTTCTTCTCTACTAACATCTCTACCCTGCTAAGTCAGATGATGTATCATTATCTGTTGTTTCAGTTCAGTGCGCTTCCTGGGCTATCCTATTACCTAAAAAGGGTGATGAGGAGTTGTTGTTTTAACAATGTGTGGTAGTATTGGGATGTGGAGGTTTTGGGATATAACCGTAGCGGACAATAGATAAGTAGTGATTTCTGACAAGGTGCCATTTTCTTTTGGAACAGTGGGAAATTTATATTTTAATTCCCGGTTAGGAAATCCTGCCTTATATGTAGCGATATAACAATGAGCTCTGCAGGAGCATTGACTGACTTTATCTTATCATAGCTCTAACCAGCCACTCATACAAGGAAGTACCCAGTTTAAAGAAAGGATTTCACAGATTAATAATATACTAGTATGTGTTATGACACAATACTGTTACAAAATATATGTTAGATCATGGGAGAGGTAATTCGAATAGCTTCAAGACATGATGACGTAACTCAAAAAATGTACTTCATCACAGGATAATGTAAACTCAGTGGCTTTGACTTAAGAATGAAGGTTACAGGCGTAGCCTGATTGAAGATTCCGGTTCTGGTTCTATCCATGGGGAATGATACTGTAGACAGCAAAAACAGCTCAGTATTCCCACCACTGAACAATGTAAGGTTTCCATGACCTCTCTACTACTTGACACATTTCCTGTTTCCAACTCTCCAACAACGTACACACAAATGTGTTCACTGATTTTCAGACAGACAGAAAGACAGAAGTATAGATACACTTGCAAACATGCACATACACACCTATATGTACATACATCTTTAACCATAAGAGCAGAATTGTTAATGGCTTTACCAGGTTTAATGGGACAAAAACTGTTGCATCCTTTACATCATCCTACATGGATGAATTGATGACAACCATGTTCTGTTCTCATCAGAAATACAATCAATGTCCACAGAATCTGTGTCATATTTGTTTTCTTATCAATCATCGTTTCAGTTCAATCAATCAAGTTTATAGACTTTTCCTGTTATTACGCATTTCCTGCCTTTGTGGAAATAATTGCTTCTGAAACTAATTATTGATTGTATTGTATTATATTTTATGGAGTGGCACTCGATTTTTCAGTAAAGTACAGATTCTAGTACTTTTGCTGGGTTGAGCCCCATCCAGGATTCGAACCAACACCCTCAGAGTCAGGCACCTAATCACACAGAGTCAGCCGTCTAACATTGCACTTATATTGTACTTACATACACCCTTAGCATACATGGGGCGGTGGGGTAGCCTAGTGGTTAAAGCATTCGCTCGTCACGCTGAAGGCCCGGGTTCGATTCCCCACATGGGTATAATGCGTGAAGCCCATTTCTGGTGTTCCCCGCCATGATATTGCTGGAATATTACTAAAAGCGACGTAAACCCAACTCACTCACTCACTCACTTAGCATACATACTTTCAGTATAAAGTTTCTATGTAAGTATAGTAATGTTCTGAAAGAACAGATATCAGTTTTCAGAAACACTTGTGTCACAACAAAGTGTCAACTTGACCTCAGATATATACACTGTGAATGAGGACAGTAATGCTGTTCCCTTGTCTGCCAGTGGTAATGTTTCACATTTATAGCCCTTCTAACACTAGTTACCACTAGTTTTGTCCTGAAAGTTTTTTAAATGACCATTGAAACTCTTGTAAAAACAGGTGAAATCTGAAAATGAACTGTGCACCCCCCTTTCTCAAAAAGCTGTATCCGCCCTGCCTGGCTACAGATTTTAGTATCCCTCCTGACATGGTTTCCTTATGGAGACACCCATACATGCATGAGTACACACCCAACAATGTTTCAGTACTGGAAACACTGTACATTGTAAGTCACAACCAACACAAAAAGGAGGGGAAGGGTATTGCTAGTAGAATGCCCAAGACACTCAAATCTATATGCATAAAAAATGATTAAAAAGATACATTCACAATCAAAGACAGTTCATAATTTGTGGCTAGTGGGGTGATGATGATTTTAAGGGGGCTCACCCATTTTGTTCATCAATTTTGTACACATGTACTAAGGGGGGTCATCACTTTTGTACATAAAAAAATTAAATTTATGCTTAAAAAATATGGCCAGGGGAGGGGAGGTCATTGATTTTGTACATGGCATGCACTTACTTTATACTTCAATTTTAGGGGGGGTCAGTCACATTGTACATGCTTCTCCATACAAATCATCATCACCCCCCTAGCCATAAATTATGAATGGTCCCTTGTCCTCCAGATAAAATCTCAACCATGCAATGATGTCAACACTCTACCCAGTCATGGACTGATGCTCTCAATATTGCAAGAAATGACACACTGACCCTTTAAAGAACAAACATACTATTCAGCTTACATTGTTCCCAGTCTGTCATGTCTGCTGGAGACGGTGACCGGTCATCCTCAGGTAGAAACTGCTACACACTCCACACCTGCTGCAGAAAAAACAAGATATCACTCACATGACAGTCCACCTTTGAGCAGTACGTCAGCAATTAAAGGTACACAACAACCCTGATATTAGATATGGCCAAGGAATTTCATGTTGAGTAGTCTTTAAAGCACATCACATGACATTCTTCAAGTGAGTATTAAACAATGGGTTATTGTCACATAAGAACTGTATATATGAGATACTACCATTGTGTCATATATGGCCACTCTCTCTCTCAATAAGGGAATCGAAGTTTTAGACATCAATCAATCAACACTTGATCACATGATCACATTATTTTTTTAAATTCTATATCATCAGAAAGGGAAAGGCCATAGTTTTCTGCTTTTAGTGTCTTTCCAAATTTCCGCTAAATCCAGTAAGTCAACATGTTTTCTTAACCTAAAGGAACAATTTCCATGGGCACATGCTCAGTTCAGTTTGAGGGATATCTTCCACTGGGCAATGCTGATAAAGTTTAATAGCAAGGAACGATCTCACAATTTCCATGGTTTTCATATTTTGTAAACTGTGTTTACATTTTCATTTTTCTCAAAGAATTTGTCAACATTACAGTAACTGACTTGTACAAACCTTTTGCCTTGTCCGACATATCATTAGGACCATCCAGGAAATTGTCAGTCACTAAATCATCAAAAAATGATTCAGACTGAGGTTTATGTTAGCAAGTGAGGCAGCCAATGAATATACAGTTTTTGGAAGAACATGTTGCCGATAAGGAGATACTTGTTAGCTCACCTATCTCGGTTTTGTCAACAAACTATTCAATGGTTGTTTAATATTTACAGCTCGCCCAACCATACTGCCATCAATTTTGACTAAATCATTCAATTCTATGGGAGAGAAGAGCCATATGACTGTTTACATTCCTTTTACTATGACTACTTAGTAACAGACGATTATTTGAGTAAATATTATTTTTTTAAGAAATTTATTTATGGATAATACCAATGCAATTTAGGATAAACTGGAAATTCACAAATAGATATACATGTATCACAGAAAGTTTGAAGCTGTTAATGTGTGCATGTATTTGTTCAAGAGAAAGAAATGTACTTTAAGGATGAATGGGGAAAGTAGTTCTGCCAACCAATCAAATGGCAACAAAAACAAATCAGCTGTGAGTAAACACGGGAAATGTACTGACTTGTACCTCCCTTCCCACATTGGTAATAAAAGACTCAAAAGTTAGCTTAAACCAGTGTTGAAGAATACGTATTAGTCATGCATGAAAGTATTCAACTCAGTCATCATGACCTGTTTCCTTTAGTGTAGGAAGTAATACAATAGGAAGATTTCAACATATTGGGAAATGAACCAGTTTATCGGTAATTCCAGAAGACACCTCCGCAGATTTGGGGGATCAAAATTTGTTTGGGGTTCTTCAGATCTTCATGCATATAGGTACAAGTATATAATGCCTGCAAAGGATTATATTTTAATGTCATTGAAAATAGAACAAAATATCATTTTGGGCATCCAGACTAATTACATAACACCTCTGAAATCAATGCAAACAAGCTACTCCTATATATTGGTTGAATTAAAAATATAAATGTCTTGATGACTATTAGCTACACTGGGTATTCAGACAATTAGTGCTTTATACCAGTTTATCACATCTCATATCAGGGTATGAAACTCCCAAAAATTTCAGCCAGACCACAGGGCTGGTTAGATGTAAAACTTTACCTAGCCACAAAATATCCTCATTTTTACATGTCTAAATTTTAACACGACCGTCGGGCAGGTGAATTTGAGAATCTGGCAGTCCATGTTGAAAATAACCCCCCCCTGGCAGTCGGGCAGGCAAGTATTTCAAACGCTGCTCATATGCATATTTATAAACAAGTAGCTTTACAGTAGCATTCACTTGCAGTTTCAACTGTATGATCTTGCATCTTGCTCCAGAAAAACTCCTCACAAACATCCCAATAATATAGAAAGAACACAACTGATTTTAGAAAGATGAATACTGCTGATATCTGTCAATACTCAAATGGCTACCGAATGTCAAATTTGTAAATATTGTAACAGTTCCACGCTATCCCACATGATATCTTTGGATTTGATGACCTAGGTAGTATATTTTGAAAACTGCATTAATCTAAACATGTCACAGCCATATCAAACCTCATTTTGTTCTTGTGGGTAGTGATGCTGGGACTGAGTAATAGGCAAACTGGATAGAAAGAATTCTCTCTATATATATGAGGTTATCCTTTAGGAGAAGCAACACTAACACCTAGAGCAATCACTGTGGTTCTTGCCAGACTAACACAACCTTCCCCTTGATTCCATTTGACCAATCAATTGTTGCTGAACCACAGCCTACAGTGAACACAGACATGAACATATGAACATGAGACTGAATGTAAATAGAAAAATTAAACATTTCCTATAGCATACCAATGAAGCACATGGAAACAACTTTCAAAATACCTTTAGGCCAGACCAATTTTATTTCTTGTTTTAAGGATCCGCCTGTCATATTTTTTCAAGAATAAGAAAAAAAATATAAGTTAATTTTCCCTGCTCAAAAAATAAAATCCTAATATTTTTATTGGCCAAAATATTAAACAAGAAATTTTGTTTTTAGATTGTTTTTTGCCCGATACACACTTCATAAATTGCCTGAAGTAACATACTTTGAATATTTAGAAGGAATATTAGTTTTGACTAATGATTATATTTTTATTTTTTTTCCCTCCTGCCTTTAGGTTTTCTGAGGACAAAAATCTGTAAAACAAGAAATAAAATTGGTCTGGCCTACTGCGTGCAAGAGCAGGAATGATTCCAATCTCCTGTGTTTTCACATTAAAGTCACAAGGCACAGGGTTTGTTGTGCACTGGTGAAGCTATGGATTGGTATTCAAGATGGACGGTGTATGAAGACTGACCACTTATAGTGTGAAGGAAAACCAAGTTCTATGGATAGTCAACTTCTTCATTGAAAAAATCGTGATTGTTTCTCCATAGTGTGTGCTTGCCATTTTTTCAACACTAGGTATCTGCATTATCTCATACTGATTCATAAACACACCCCTCACTGATACACCAGGATTGTTGAATGGACTGTGGGTGATATGGACAGGGTTTTGTCACTTTTGTTTGCAACAGAAATATATACTAGTATATATGATTATGAAGGGGCAGATTTGTGTTATAGTGACTGATTCAAGACAAAGATTATCTGAATGAACATATTATTTCAATCAACTACAAAGGCTAATTACCTAGTAGCCATACCAAAAGACGTTAAAATATGGTACTTGTTGGTCCCTGTCTGGCGCTCGGCATTAATGGGTGCAACAAGGACTGGTCGGCTCAGAGTCAGTATAATTTGTCTGAGTGGGGTATTCATGCTTCACTGCGGCATGGTATCTCAGTGGGCTAGCACTATAAAACCAGCTTTAGTCTGGGCTAGTACAAGCAGCCGCACATACACATACACACGCATGCACGTCGTCATATGATCGAAATATTCTCAAGCACGACGTTAAACCCAATTTCACCTCACCTAGTAGCCATGACATGTCGGTATGACACTAACTATCCTACGTATCTTATCTTGATCAATTGATTAATGAAACAATTAATATTTATTAGTATTAACTTGAACTATTGTCGGTAGACATGAGTTCAATATGGCTGATCAATAACATAATCTGTTGGATAAAGGAAAGTATACACCTATGTTTGGAGACTGATAAAAGATGAAGCATACAAACAATGAATATTCAGTTGAGATGTACTTGACACGTGTATCATAGATATGCTTTGAAGCTTGAGAGTTTCAGCGATTGTTTTCAGCCTAGTACTGATCAGATAAACTTTCTGCTTGTGTTAAGCAATGAAAGGAATGCAGAGGCTGGTAGATAACATTAAAGATGAAGAATCATATCAATTTGAACATCCACTTGCTACTGCTAGAGAGGCACGACAAGACCTTCAGTTCCGCAATATTTTAGTGAGACCTCTGAACAGCATTTCGGCATCAACTAGATGTGGGAGGAAAGATCAAATCATGCACGGTGCTGACAAACCCAGGTACATAATCAGGTAAAACCTGATTCCACCATCAACGTATAGGTTGTAACTGTACCTAATCAGGTAAAACCTAGGATTCCACAATCAACCTATAGGTTGTAACTGTACATAATCAGGTAAAACCTAGGATTAACCACACATAATCATCAACCTATAGGTTGTAACTGTACATAATCAGGTAAAACCTGGGATTCCACCATCAACCTATAGGTTGTAACTGTACATAATCAGGTAAAACCTGGGATTCCACCATCAACCTATAGGTTGTAACTGTACATAATCAGGTAAAACCTGGGATTCCACCATCAACCTATAGGTTGTAACTGTACATAATCAGGTAAAACCTGGGATTCCACCATCAACCTATAGGTTGTAACTGTACATAATCAGGTAAAACCTGGGATTCCACAATCAACCTATAGGTTGTAACTGTACATAATCAGGTAAAACCTGGGATTCCACCATCAACCTATAGGTTGTAACTGTGTGCAACAAACTGATGTGCCTAAGTTGCCTAGTCCAGAATTAGTAGGTACCATATAGCAAGACGCAATCCCTGCCTCAAACTGGGGGATAAGCATTTCAGTGTGTTGTGTCAACTTAAAATTTCACATGACCTTACAGGGCTCGATTTAGTGCTTTGTAACTTTCACTGATGCTAGCCAATATTACAAAGTGCAACGTAGTTATTAGTCTAACTTGCACCAGGTGCAGGTCAATTTTTGAGTGGGTAAACTTCTGAATAAAACATCTAAATAATTCAATAGCATATTCCATTCATTACATATTGCCACAAAAGCAGTGCAACTGGAATTTGGCTGGTGCAACTAGGTTTTTATCTCAGGTTGCACCTGGTGCAAGTAGGTTAACATTACTTAAATCGAGCCCTGCCTTAAATATTCATGATAATTCTACAGACTTATCCTTACTCAGGTAAGTACACCTAAACCATGTCTCAGGCCATCAGTCCACACCTCTCTCGCAAGGAGCACACACCCTAAGTAGAACAGGTATGTTATGGGTCCTGTGTTCTATGAAGGAAATGTCATGTCATACATTACTTGAATACTAGGTACTAATGACATACAAGTACGTGGGTAGTTTTTCTTCCTTCATGCTCCTGACACACACTATATCCAAACATTACCCTTAAATGGGCCTGATCGTTAACATGAATGTTAACATACCATTGACACAAAAGTGGTTAAATGCAATATAAGGTATTTCTGGGATTAATTTTTCAACAAAAAAATACATATTCAAGTACTTTTGCAGAGTTAAGTCCACATTTATAATATATGTTGTACTGAAAAGAGGCCAAAGAACACATGATTTATGTTGAATGATTATGCCATGGTTGGCAGATTTTGCAGCACTTTGCTTTCTGACTGTTGCTAATCTTTGAGGTGAGGTAAAATGGGGTTTAACGTTGTACTTAAAAATATTTTGCTCATATGACCACGTGCATGCATGTGTACTAGCTTGTACTAGCCCAGACTTAAGCTGCTTTTATAGTGCTAGCTCACTGAGATACCTTGCCGGAGTGAAAGCATGAACAACATGTACCATATTTCAACGTCTTTTGGTATGACACAGCTGGGGATCGAACCCCGCAACCTTCCGCTCTCCAGGCAGATGCTCTAACCACTACACCACGGAGGCAGTCAGCTGATCCTTGACTTCTTTTGAGTAGTATGAACTAGTGGTGGTCCGATTACTTGAATTAATACAAGATTGGTCGCAATGACTAAACGACCAAGCAATCGGTCATGTTTTCTCATAATCGAACACAAACAATTTTGGAACACTTGTTTGCATCAACAATATATCACAAGGTTGGTTTTGTCTATTACATTTCATAAGCACTACTAGTTCAGTCCAAGTCATGATTGAAATTATCTTACAGACCTACAGGTAATTTATGTTCCTAACGTATCAGTCATCCTGTAAAGATGGGAAATTTGCAAATGCATTGTGTGCAATTTGCCAAGAAAAAACCGAAAGAACTACATGTGTTTTCTTTGTATTGTGCATTAAGAAACATAACCAGGAAAATTTGATAAATGACGCTAACCAATTATTTTCGATGATTGATCGGTTGTAATGAACCAATCATCAATTATGAGATTTTAACCAATTGCCAACACTAGTATATACAGCATCCCAACAATGCAGACAGAAGATTACAGGTGACATAAAAACGGGTATCATTAACCTTTATGACTATATGATTGATGTCGGGTCCTTCATCGGGTAATAAAGTTCAAGGGGAAATTATTATCGAGCAATTATCTTGTAATTGTAAATGCTTTTGTTGTACTGACACCAACATATACATTACACCTATGTAATGATATGACAAGATAACATATCAGACACTATCACAATGTGTATCACAGATATACCCGTGAAGATCCGGGTTAGAACTGATCTTCAGTAACCCATGCGTGTCGTAAGAGGCGACTAACGGGATCGGGTCGCTGACTTGGTTGACACATATCATCATGTCCTAATTGCATAGAATGATGCTCATGCTGCTGATCACTGGATTGTCTGGTCCTGACTCGATTATTTACAAACCGCCGCCATATAGCTGGAATACTGCTGAGTTCAGCGTAAAACTAAGCTCACTCACTCACTGTATCACAGATAAAATCATATATAAGGATAAAACACATTAATGCAGCACATGAAGTATAAGTATGATTAAGGTAAGATCCCGCCCACAGCACCCCACCCCCACTTAGAAGTTATAAGAACAATTTTGTATCAAGGGAACTTATTTAACCAGTTCTTCATCATACAGTCATGAAAGATTAACTCTACCAATATGAAAGGCATGGTGGTGGGCGTGGTGGGCAAGCAGGCTAAGGCGCCAGGCTAGTGATTCACCTTGAGGTGTCGGGATCGATCCCACCTGTGAGCAGGTGTAAAAACCTTGGAGTCAACTTTGTGTGCAGACTCTTTCAGTGTTGTCACAACCCCTAGTACAACCCTTAGTGTACAGTACACAACTCTGTGCACTTAAAAGAACCCACGAATCCGTTGGTATATGACCTGATGGTGGCCACATTAATATGTGCAAACACCTAGTTGCGGGTACAGCAATGGGCAGAAAACTTGGGACAAAGTACTGTGACTATGTGTCCCATTCCACCCAGCTGTGAATGGGTACCTCGTAAGGATGGGAAAGCCACATTAACTCGGTGCGCCTAGTGGCTGTAAGAGCTGCATGATCCCCAAGGAGTCGAGATTTATAATACGATGTGCCGTTGAGATTGACATCCAATGATCGAGGGAAAAACTACCAGCACCTTGAGCATGTACACGTTGCATGGATATTTGCGCTATATAAATATCCTATAATAATAATAATAATAGTAATGAAAGATCCTTAACAGCAAATAGAAATATGATGTTTCTAGATAAATCCTAGCCTAAGGTAACAAGGACTCATCTCTTAGACACACTGTTCAGTAAGACAAAATCTATGTCGACATTGTTTAATTACTTGCCTTGATTTATTTATAAAGGGGTGTCACCAAAACCATACTGGTGCCATAACCATGATAATGCACATGGACCATAATAGCAACTGCAGAGAATTATTACATCCTTGGAATATTAAGTTCTTATATATATATATTCTATAAAAACAGTGTAAAAAACATTCAGTAAAAAATGGCACACATTCATATTTCTATCTGGATGTTCTTTATATGCAGTTCCACCCAGGTATTTTCAAACAGGGTTTACAATGATCAAAGTAGGTCATTATTGGAAGGGAAATAACTCTCCTCTATCATCAGCACAAACACTGTATAATAAATATGGTATAACAAATATGGTATAACAAATATGGTATAACAAATATGGTATAACAAACATGTATATATTCTGACTGATGAGATTGCAAAACACAAATTCATAGTTTGCAGTAATAATAGTCATAATCACCATGTCACATAAGGTGCCAACTTATTACCAAGCCCGTCATCTATCATTTATCTTTCCGTGTACATAACACAGCTTCAGCATAGTTGTCACAGGTTTCTCCACCGTTGAAGGAGAAGAAATGTATTATTATATTACATATTACATTTGACCACTTTCTAAAGGCATTGTTTATTTGTGTTACACTGTGTTTAGTTCCAGTTAGTTCAAGTTACAATTTAGGAGGTGGATAGACATTCATTTCAAGTATAACTAAAATAGTACATTACAATATTATTGAATATCAGTAGATTCCACAAAGGACAACATTTAAACGAATCACACATGTATAATCCATCCATACACATATACACGTATAAAATAAAACAGTCTATTTATAGCCTCCAGGTCTGAGTAATCCAATCAGGTATCTATCCTAGAGCTAGCCCTTGTGAATGAGGCCATGTGACAGGCAGAAGGGGAGTACTGTATACTTAGTTCATGGGGAAAAGGAAATTCGTGGAAATGCTTAAGCTCACAGCACTTACTCATTGCAACATCGTTTCATCATACTGACCATGGGACAATGAGCTACATACAATGCATTTTACATCACAATGATAGCAGTCTTTGAGATAGTTTGTGACAGACTGCCTTTCTGTCCCCAAAAACCTACCCTGCCTCAACCCCTCCCAAACTCCTCCCTCCCTTCTTCCCAGGGTTATCACCCCCCTGAACCTTCTTCCTACGTGCCTCACAACTACCCTGCTTAAATATCACACTGAAACAAGACAACTTCATACAGTAACACCATGTCGTAACCTCATGGCAGCCTTTAAATATAAACTGGTACCCAAACGCTATTTGTTTATGTCTTCATGGTGATACATAGGTAAAGTTCGACTGCCCTTGTCACAGGATAGCATTCGAAGTTCCCTGTTGAGATGCTACAGGGGGATTGTGATACTAAATCTGTCGTATGTTCTGGACCGCTCGACTCACCAGCAAGACAAACAAATAATGAGTTTGGTGCTTTATAAGAATGCCTAACATTGTAAATATGAATGTACTCACCGCGGGATGTGTATACCACGTCAAGAAGTCAGCTTGTAAATAACGACACAGACTATCCTTGCCTGTGTGACCTGTTTACTTCCGGGTAGGTTTTACAAATGACCGACCTGTTTCGAGTATGCCGCCTGTTTCAATGACTGTCGGCGCTGCCACGAAAACATCATAAGTCAGTGAACCTTTCTTCTGAGAAAAGCACTTTCCCTTTGGATCTACTTCAATAGAATTAATTTATTTCCCGCGCTTTCGCGTACATGTGTGTCTGACGAAGGGAAGTGCAGATGGGTGGGGGCTTGGCCGTGGTTGGGGGGTGTGGGTGGGGAGGCGTACTTGTGAAGAATAGCTGTCATGATTTTCTTTCTCTTCACCTAAAACAACAACGTACCAATTGGTTGATATGTAGTGAATGAGTTTGATTTCACTTTGCTTCAGGGCGGTGGGGTAGCATAATGGTTATGGCGTTCGCCCGTCACGCCGATACCCGGGTTCGATTCCCCACTTGGGCACAAAGTGTGAAGCCGTGATATTGCTGGAATATTGCTAAAAGCGGCGTAAAACAAAACTCACTCACTCACTTTGCTTCAAGCCGAGGTAAGCCGGGATAATTACCTACTTCAGGGGCGTAGCTACCATTATAAAACAAGCCCGGGCTTACACATGATTTTTGCTTCAAAGGTTGAACAAGCCCTCAATACTATCTAAATATTAAGCTTTGCAACCTATCGGGCTTACACGAAACAATTGGCTTGCTACGCACCTTTACTTACTCGAAAACTATACTGGATATACAGCATTATATAGGTTTTTACGGGCTAGAATAGGTCTCCAGCACTCCATGTTGGTCGTAAGAGACGACTAAATAAGTTGCTGGTTGTCGTCACATTCCGTGATTTTGTTGGTTGCGCGTCATCGTACCAGGCTGTTGTGGATCGTTCGTCATAATAAATCACTGGTTTGTGTGGTACAGATTCGACCGTGAACAGCGCGCCACCAGACTGCTGGAATATTGATGAGTAAAGCTTTAAACAGGAAATATACAAATATGTGTGATGTTTTAGTCTGTCTCCCAAACCGTAGAGCATAAATAAATCATCTTTAGAATGATTGGGCAAGTCTAGATTGCCACAGATCTCTTTAATGAAGAACTGTTCGGGGCCCCTTTTGGGGATATTTTAAAAAAGAAATTGAGACGCCCGTCATAAAGAGGTTGTTCCGACCAGACTTGTAGAATGTTATACATATATTTTACGAGCGCTTCTATATCTATATTTTTCTATAACTGTACATATCGAAATCGTGAAATCGTGATATGATGTGTATTTCGTCACAGCAGGTTCTCACAGAAGTGTATTCGTCACATCCAACAGTCACATACCTCCGCTACCAGGAATGCAAGAGAGCGATGGATAGTCAGGGTGGGACTGTGTTCTAGAGAGTGACATTCATAGATATGAAAACGACCTTCATCGCGCTAAAATTAAGTAAAGGGTTTTGGCAGTATTATCTAAAACATTTTCCTTTGATAGTAAAAGGCAAAACATGTGCACGTCAGACAGCACTTCATATGCATCACATGCCAAATGAACCTGACGTTTCTGAGATAAAACGTGAATGTTTTTTGGAGTGAAAGATCAACCAAACAATGGAGAGTCAATATGCCGGTGTCTGTCCAGTGTCCATGCAGTTTAGAGTAATTTCTACACAAAAGGCAGTAATGACTCTTAGAAGTCAAAGTCAGTGTTTTAGGTGTGTAGTCGGACATTAAGGTTTCACGTACGGCGGGCAAAATGTTCGGGGCTTTCTATATCATTAGCTAAACATTGATAAAGTGTCTTCGAAAAATACGTACGCATCTTTTGTACCCAGCGTTTAAACAAGGGGACATAACTCTTGCAGTACTAATGTGCTGCGATTGTGTCTGTTGAACATGTACATGATTTTAAAGGTTTCAAACACGGTGAACATTGTGTCGGATCAATGGTCAATCAGTCAAGCGTGTTCTTCATGCAGCGATATTGCGGCGTAACATTTGATACTCAATATTGCAATTTAATCATGCTATTTAATATTTCGGAGAGAAAACCTTTTCACCTAAAATGTTTTGAAACAAAACTTCAGCGGCTCTACAATGATCAGTTATGGAATGATACAAGGATGTTGAGACTCTTGTGAATTACAACTAATATCACGGTTGGCAAAATAGTTTAGCTCCGGAAAGCATGGATCGTATGTAAGTATTATATACCTGTTCTTTAAAGAAAACAGTTAGATTATATGGGCAGTCTATACAGTTACGCTATGGGACGATTAGTTCAAGTTTGTAAAATGAGGGTCCACAAATGACATTGCTTCCTGTCGCCGCCGGACCTCCAAACTCACTAAAACTCTGTGCGATTCTGTAATCTGTACAAGTCTTACAGGTAGGTGTTGGCTGATTCTTGTACACCCAGCCTGCATCTCAGTTTATTTCTTGGGAAATACTTTCATTAACGAAATGTGTGTTTGACTGCGAAAACAGTACAGTAAATGTGAAAACATGAAAAAGATAATTTCAAGAAACATCATCAACGTTTTTGTGGCCACCGTGATTCAACATCAGCCTACATAGATATTGAACTCTCAAATTCAAATTTATGTATAAAACAGAAAACTACGCCTCAATAATATTCCAGATTGTGACGGCGTTATGTACAGACCCGTGCAAAAAGTATTTGGTCACCCGACGTAATTCCATAGACTTACATGTTATTTCAGTGTAGCATAAATAATTTCCATGAGGTGAGTTTAGGATAGATCTTTGTAAATTTTGACAGGCAAATTTTAAATCATCTCTGCTCTGCGAACATAATTTCAGTTCAGTTTACCGACCACTATTTAACTAATGACATCACATTTATCAACTTACGTATATCCACAATGCACAATCCCATAGGCCGCCATGTTAAAGGAATTCACGTCACTGTACCTATGTTGATTAAATTGTTTCCATTCGATTAATAAGCAACGGAAAATTAAACAGAAATTATGTGATTGAAGGTAAGAAGATTCCTCCAATGTGCAAATTTGACTTGGATCTTACGAAAATTAAATTCATGAAAATTGTTTATGCTACACTAAATTAACACGTAAGTCTATGGAAATTACGTCAAGTGTCCGAATACCTTTTGCACGACTCTGTATGTTTATAGTCTGGAACAAGCAAATTAGTAACTCTTTGAATCAGCACTATCGCGCGTCGGGTGGTGCGATGGCACCAGACAACCAAGTCACTGAGCCGGATCACCCGATCCACGTTTTACCCTTTAACGAAAAGTAATACGTCGGACCTATGCATGGATGTGTGTGTGAGTGCGTCTTGTCAGTAAATGTAAATTAATAATTACTTCTCATTCCCATATCTACTTTTAAACAATTTTCAAAGTCAAATTCAAATTCACAAGTAAGTACGTGAGTGGACGTAGCTGGACGCCGCAGTTCACGATGGCAGCTGTATCGAGGCGGTCTGTACACAGTCGAATCTGGGTGAGGCAAACACACGCCAGTCTATGTTATCGGGTTACAGTAGTCATGTGACGAACATAGAATACTGAGGTCCAGTAACTGCTGTTCTGCCCTAGAATCGCAGTGTAGTGACTAAAATATATAGGACTGGTGTAAGTGAGCATGGTTTTACGCCGTTTTTAGCAATATTTCAGCAATATCACAGCGGGGGACACCAGAAACGGGCATATACATTGTACCCGAGTGGGGAATCGACCCGAGTCTTCAGTGTGACGAGCGGACGCTTTAACCATTAGGCTACCACACCGCCCCTATAAAGGTGTGAACTGACTGTACATGTGGTATATGCAGTACATATTTGCTTAATAGATGCGGGTAATTTGTACACAAAGGTTTATCTGACATAATGTAGAACATTGACAAGTATGTCGAGGTACTGATATGTACGGTGATAATCAGATGTGTGTCTGTGTGTGTTTTCTGTAGGCAGTGTAAACTATTAAATTCAGCGAAGAACACAAATTGACAAATCAAATGCACGAAATATTCATAAATAGTTCTTGAAAAGGATTTAGGTTAACCATACCTTTTGTTCAGTATATAGGAATATTTATGAAGTTCAAGTGTGTCCCGTCAAAAAGCGTTCACATGGCGAGCAGACGATCACAAATGCACGCGCGTTCAAAAGTCCGTGCACCGGAAATATCATTTGATTGGTTCATCCATGTGTATAGCTACCACGTGACTGGCAATGTCAAAACTTCACCATTGTTTGTGTAAACAATCACATGTGGCAGAAGATGAGAAGAGTTCAGACGAAAGCAAGGGATATGGATGAATACAGGTGAAATTCAATTATTCAGTTTCACACAAACCTTTTTGTGACTGTAATGTGACAGGATTTGTCTAGAAATTATTCGTATAGGAATATCCTTTCTTCTCTAATTCACGCGCACCAAATACGAATCCACAATGCCATTTAGAAAAAATAATGACAATTATTATGGATATACAACTTCTTTTATTCTGTGGAGGCGACGTTTCGACATAGGTTCTAATGTCGTTGTCAAGCAAGTGATACATGAGTAACAAATTGAGAGAATATATACAGGAGTTGTTATTACGGTAGATAGGGAATGAGTTGTTTATACAATAATTGAGGTTGATACACTAATTAAAATGCCCATCAATGAAGCCATTTAGAAAGTATAGTCTAAGTATATGTTTCACTTGCACAGGTGTGTTGGTTTTCCGTGGGTAAAGCTAGCAAAATATAGAAAGTCACTGTATATACCATTCTGGGTATTACCTAGTAATAATCCTATCCCAACTGCGAAGATTGATGCTCAAGCTGTTGATCACTGGATTGCCTGGTCCAAACTCAGTTATTTACAGACCGCCACCATATAGCTGGACTATTGCTGAGTGCGGCAATAAACAACAAACAAACAAACAAACCTAGTAATTACAGATATAATGCCACATATGGGAGAAGTTATACTAAGTGAGTAGATGCGCTTAGCTCAGTTCCAGTTCCACTTCGATTTTGTATATTTCTCCCCAAAACAGCGGTGGTACAAGAGTACACATGCACTGTGTCCTGCTTTGTCACAACTGGGGGTTACCGATACGCACATCAACTCCTTAGAAATTTAGGATTTAGCGCACTTACGCATCTCCGTTAAACCGCAGGTTATTACATAGTTAAAACATTTTTAAACGAATA